GACGTCATACTTTCTCGTTACGAGAAACAACAGTGACGTGCAAAAATAATAGTGAAAAATGCCGCAATTTCACAAGATCGAGATCAACAACAGGACGGAATGGGAGGTACCGGAGCGATATCAATTGCTCACTCCCGTAGGTTCAGGCGCTTATGGCCAAGTCTGGTGAGTGAGAATGTAATAATACGTTGCTACGCGGACAGATCTATGTCGATAATTTTGCCAAGGAAAATACATTCGCGAAGATCATTCTTTTAAAATGCTCCGAATTTGATCGATTGTCCTTCTCAAACTGGTTTTTTTTTTCTTATAATAAAGATTAATGTGGCTTGTCAACTCTGATGATGACATTCACAATCGGTTGACAGTTTTGAAAGTTGTCGAGACGAAAAATGTTCCATTACGTCTGTTACGTGATCGTGAATTCCGATTGCAACCTTGACATTTACAAGATTTCTAGTTTGTAAGGTGACGAAATTTCCGGATTGTTGTTGCGCAATTATTTCTTGTCGTGAATAAAAAGCCGGCTATAATCTATTTTATTAATCCGGAAATACGTAAATTTCGAGGGGTTGCGCATGCGTTTCTCACATTTTTACGAAAATAGATTGAATTTGGATTTAGAACAGCGTAATGTTGTGTTTGTCAAATAGCGAGACTTGAGAAATAAATACATAGTTTTATTTTATAAATTAGGTTAGGTTATATTTGAGTTTTCTTGTTTTTTTTTCCTGTAAAAATGTTCCATAAATAATTTTTTAAATTATTTTGCAAGTTATGATGTAATATTTATCATAATGCACCAATAGAGTGACTAGCATTTACGTTTCTTTTATGAAAAAATATGTATATGCATTTCAGTTCAGCTGTTGACACAACTACTGAGCAAAAAGTGGCAATTAAAAAATTAGCTAGGCCATTTCAATCAGCTGTACATGCAAAAACGCACATATAGGGAGTTACGTATGCTAAACACATGAATCATGAAAATGTAGGTAAACACAATTGTAGAGAGACTCTTTACATTTCTAATCAGTCTTAAAGATGTACATTAATTGTAGGTAATAGGTTTGTTAGATGTATTTCATCCTTCTTCGTCTTTAGAAGATTTTCAGCACGTGTAAGTATTACTTGACATATAAAAGATTCACTTTGATTTTATTATACATATATTAATTAATTGTATTATTTATATTTTCACAGATACCTAGTCACACATCTAATGGGTGCTGACCTAAACAATATTGTCAGAACACAAAAACTTTCTGATGATCATGTACAATTTCTTGTCTATCAAATACTTCGTGGCTTAAAGTACATCCACTCTGCAGGAATTATACATAGAGTATGATAATATGTTATATGCATTTATGTAGAAAATGTGGCAAGCTCAATTTCTCATAAATATAATTAATAGGATTTGAAACCATCTAACATAGCGGTCAATGAGGATTGTGAGTTGAAAATATTGGACTTTGGCTTAGCTAGACCAGCAGAAAATGAAATGACTGGTTATGTTGCCACTAGGTGGTATAGAGCACCCGAAATTATGCTTAATTGGATGCATTACAATCAAACAGGTTAGAATTATATCGATAAAAGTTAATGTAAAAGAACACATTGTCTACTTTATCTAAGAAAGTTGTTGTAATACTATTTTTATATATATATTTTTAGTCGATATTTGGTCAGTAGGATGTATTATGGCAGAGCTGCTAACTGGAAGAACACTATTTCCTGGAACAGATCGTATCCTTTAAGTCATTCTTGACAAATTTTGCTGTATTATTGCTTTATTGTCTAATATTTTTTCATTGATATATTTTTCTCATAAATCATACAATAGATGTATATTTTATGTTTTTAACACAAGATTACGTTAATTAGCATTGGTAAATATTTCCTTCTGTTTTGCTTGCAATGTCCTTTTAATAAGTATGCTTTTTGCTAAGGGTCTATTAGAGCTAATATCCCATTATTGCATTGAGAACTATTAAAGCTATAAATATTCTGCTTAATATGCTTTTAGAAAGTTACTTGCTTACATTTTGCATCATTTGTAAATTGCTTACAAATTGAACAATAATGAAGAAATTAATAAAATATAATAAAGATTTTATAGAAAAATTATATGAAAATTTTATTGTGACACATTTGAAATGTATTTGTAGCATATTGCTTTTATATAGATGTAATACAAATTTTTGATAAAAGGGATATTTATTGCTTTTGAAGAAAAATATAGTGGAGCCTTAGCAAGAGTAGATATTCACCAACTGAACTTAATTATGGAAATTTTGGGTACTCCACGAGACGAGTTTATGAAAAAAATATCGTCAGAATCGGTAAGTTGTTTTAGTTATCTCATGCTAGTTATTTTATTCTATAGCATGAAATTATGCATGTTTTATACATATCTTAGATAGTATGTGAGTTGCAGTATTATATCTCTTCTTATTTTCTTAACACATGAAATGCATATAAATATTACATCTTAGCAAATTTGTGATGGTTCAAAACATTATTTTTCTAATATTATATACAAAATTTTAGTAACAGATATATCTCTACTTTAATAAATTATTGTATAAATTATATGAATATATAATGGATTAAGAACAGCATATATAATTTAGCTTTATAATTATATTATTATATCTATAACATAGAAAATTTAAGAAGTATACATAATTGTAAAATTACATCTTTTGCAAATATTTAATATTTAAATTAATTCATGCTGCTTATAACAAATATGGAGCTTACTCTAGATGCGCCCGATGACTTACAATTTATGGAAATGGTTTGATGTATATTTAGCACTTTTGAAAGTATTGTTTTAATTGACATCTAATTTTAATATTGCTTTTTAAACATACCTTAACCATAAGCAGACATTGATCACCTAACACGAGTGTTAGTACTCTGTGGCACACCCACAGAGGAAACTTTAAGCAAAATTACTAGCCAAGAGGTAAATTTGTTTTTTTTTTAAATGTAATTTACTGTATATAATATTATATTTTATCTCAAAATGTAGCTATCAAAGCTAGTCAAAGCTCTGATCAAAAACTATTTTGATTTCTTTGTTAGATTGTAAAGAAAATTTTTATCTTGATTTGATATCTAGTTTTAATACTTAATGTTAAGATGTAAATTTATAAATTTATTATAAAAATTCATAGTGTTGAAAAAACTTCTAGGATATTTTTGTAGACAAAATATTTAAACATAGAATATATAGTACATATAATGCATAGAAATTTTTAATTGTACAGAGTTTAAATTGCACAAATGCTATGATTTTTTAAATTGCTATTTTTAATTATTGTTATAGGCCAGAAATTATATTCAGAGTTTACCACCACTAAAGAAAAAAATTTTAAAGATGTATTTCGTGGAGCTAATCCTTTAGGTAAGTAAAAAGGCTTGTGCTATTAGACTATGTATTAATATATATCGAATGAGTAAGTGGAATTGTATTTTTTGTATCTATTTAGCTATTGATTTGTTGGAATTGATGTTGGAATTGGATGCAGAGAAAAGGATCACTGCAGAACAAGCTTTAGCACATCCATATCTTGCACAATACGCAGATCCAACTGATGAACCTGTTTCTTTACCATATGATCAAAGTTTCGAGGATATGGACCTACCAGTAGAAAAATGGAAAGGTAATAAATCTTTATTATTTTATATTTTAATTAACAATGTTTTTTTACATCTTGAATAATGGACATTCTTATTTTCAGAACTTGTTTATCATGAAGTTGTAAACTTTGTTCCACAACAGCTATCCACGTTATCTTCAACAATTGAAACGACTTCGTAAGAATACATTTATAGCGCCAGTAATTTAAACACAGTAAGTTATGATATAGAAATTAACACAGAACAAATATTGCGAATAAGATATATATATATGAAATTGTTATATATAAAATCACAATGTACATAATTTATAGACATAACATACCATTAGTTATTCGAGTTTATCTATCTAGAGGATAGAATGTATATTTTTGTTGAAAGAGAAACAACACATTTATTGCTTAATTGCTTTTAATTCGGTTGTTAATTGAAATCGATTTATCAATAATGTCTGTTCTTATACAATATGTTTGTTTATAAATCTTTTTAGTTACTTTATCAGATATTATTTCTTCTAGTGTAGAAAGAGAAATATAAAATTAATATACACTTAATAATTAATTTATCATAAATATATATAATTCAATATATCAAATATAAATTATGATAAACTTGCCATATGATACAGTAAATTATGTAGTATTAAATATAATAGTTTTAGACTTAAACGTACATAATAATATAACAATTCTAATGCTTATTATTTTTTTAATGATGCCATTAAATTTAAAAGATAGAAGTGGAATATTTTCCTATTTAAGCCGCCCAAACTTAATGCACCAATATTTATAAAATTAAGATTACAAAATTAGAATTGCCAGTAAGGAAAATAGAAATTGTAACAATAAAATCAAAATAAATGTACAACGACTAGACATTATCATAAATTAGGAATTGCATACTTGATAATAATAGCAAAGGATATTACTACAAAAAAGGATAGGATTTATAGACAGATATTTACAGACAATTTATATTTATATACTTCTAGTATGTGATATACATAAAAAGAAAGTGTGTATAAGGATATATATACTTGAAATAGGTAAACAAAACTTAAAAGTGCGATCTCCTCTCAAAAGACTTTCATTTATTTTTAATTATTCTATGTGTCATTCATTTTTTCTCATGTTCTTCTAAATTTTGTGTGTTTATAATCAAACAGTATGAATAAGCTTGCTGTAACATTTGTGACATATTCTTGTTGGCATACATCTTCCAAGAAATAGCTTAATATAAAAGCAAAATAATTAGTATTTAAATATATATTTTGATATAGCTAATATGATTGGAAAGGTTAAATAATCTGTTTGATTTAATATAAACTATTTTCTTTAATAATGTCAAATGTATGGACTGGGAACGATACTGAGAAATTAATAGTACTTTATGGACAATATCAGTGTTTGTGGAATCCATTCCACCCTGAGTTCAATAGTACATTGTCACGTTACAAAGCATACAAGAAGATAAAAAACTCCATTGATATCCCTGGATTAACGATATGTGATTGCATTGAAAGAATTACAAATGTAAAAAAAGAATACTGTTATGAACTATCGAAAATCACTGCAGCTATATTTTGTGAAAAATTATACTCGCCAAAAGCAGAATGGTTTAAAAGAATGCATGTGCTTTTTTTTCCATATATACCGACATCTCTTTCGAGTGATTTTATAAAGGTATATGTATGTAATGCAAAACAAATAATTATTTAAGAAATTGTTATACAGCCTTGATTGCCATATTTATATAATATATATAATATATTGTAATAATGATTATAAATAATAATCTCTTTTAAAATCAATATTTTGTGATATTTCCATTCATATTTAATGTCATCTATTTTGACATATATCATTTTTATATTATATTTATGGTACGAAAAGGTATAAATTTGTATTTGCAGCAAGATAGCAACAAGCAAAAATTTAATGATATAAGTACTCAAGACAGTCTTTTACATTCATCTCTTGAGAGATCAAAAGATGAAGCAGTTTGCTCAAATGATATCTGTGGAACATGTGAACTTCAAGAGATCAAATTATCTTTAAAATTAGGGTTATTTGCTATGTTTTTTTGAACTTATTTGACGTAATTTTTATATATTATGAAATAAAATTATAATAATATTTTTCAAGTGCAGAGATACAATCCATTCTGTTTCAAAATCGCAAGATGTTCTCATTCCTTCTGAAGCAATTCAAACAATTGATATAGCAACAGGGACTAACTGTGTTACTATAGAGAACGAAACGCAAACGGATATATTTCATGTTAGAAATAAATATGAAAAAATATAAATAAGAATATGCATACACAGATATTTTTAATAATATTAATATTATGTAGGAGCGAAAATACATTGCAGGTGTCATCAAAGAAAAAAAGGTTCACATGCTGAATAACAGCAAGTTATCTAAATTGTCAATTTCTCAAGAGGAAAGATGGAAAAAATATAAAATCTTTTGTAACAGGATCGTTCCACATACATGGATGATATTTCTGTAGAAGTGTATAGTAGAAGAAAAACTGAAGATAGTTTTGATATATTTGGGAAAAGTATAGCGTTTCAATTGCGAAATATTGACTTAAGTAAAGTTAATCATAATATGAAGTTATTGTTCTTATTGAATTAGAGTTTGAAATTGAATATTTTATTTTTTAGAAACTGCTGTGGAATTGGAAAAAGATATACAAAACTTGATAACAAAAACGCGATTAAAAACTTTAAAGTCTAAATTAATTGATTGGAATGGCAGCTCAATCTGCTGCTGTGATTGTAGCGATTGCAAAGTAATGTGTAAAAACGAAACTTGTAGTTGTGGCTTAACATTAAAGGAATGTTATTACTAACAAAGATCAAAGAAAAAAAGAGTTATGGGTTTTGTTACAAATAGAGAATTAATCTTGATAATATTGAGATAATCGCAAGTAATATTTATGTATTCTTAAATTATTATTTTTAAATATAAGTAACATATCGTGTACACAGACAAATAATAAATTTACTAGTAAAATGTAATAAATATATGAAAAACTAGATAATATATGGCCTTTTCTATTATATGTATTTTGTGATGAATTTTTATTGATATATAATTAATGGCATCTATACAATCTTTTTGTCAAATAAAAAGTAAATTTTAAAAATACTAAAAAATTTATTATATATAATTTAGAGTTAGAGCTTAGATTATTGTAATCAACGTATTTCTAAAACTTTATTGTTTCTGGAAACATTTAGGTATTCATGAAGGACTGATTTATATAGAACGTTACAGTTATACGTATATGAAATATTTTTATAATTTATGCCATTCTAATATAGTCAAATTTTATATTTGTAATAAATCAATATTTTTTTATATATGAATAAGTTTTAAAGTTGGATAATAAATAGAATAATTAGAATTTTTTATTAAGATAATAAAATAAAGAACAATTTTTTAAATTTAAATTCTATTTTATTATATGAAAATGTATAATATTTTCACAATTAAAATATAAGTATTTCTAATTGCGGAAGTACACATACTTGTGGCCGAGAATTAAAACAAACGCGTTTATTTGATATACAATATTGAAATTTAATAAAATAGTATAAAAGACATTTATTTTTTTCTCGCAATGTCCGTTTTTACATATGTGCTATTTGAATACCTTATGTGATTCATGTAATTTATGAATCAGTAATACAATTATTTAATAAATTTGAAATTAATTGCTTATCCTATACATTTCTCCTTTATATAAATGTTATATAACAAGTAAAACAATTTCAGTATAATTTATTAAGATGAATACTTCAAATTACTGGAGTATATGTATCATGTATTTATACATTATATTAAAAGTTGGCTATTGTACTAGAAAGTATTTGATAATAAATTTTAATAAAATTCAATTATTAATTGTACATAAGATGTACTATTAAAAATTGCAAATAGGAACACACTTTTGTTTGATTAAATCAGTATCTTATCATTAATATCAATCCAGATTAGAGATACATAATATGTAAATCATTTGTCATATTTATAATTATTAATAAAAGTTTTACATAAAAATACGAAATTTCTTCATTAACTTGAGAATGCATAACGAAAAAATTTTAGAGAGAGATTTAACATTAATTAAACTGTGTACATAATACTGTTGATATTTTTATAAGACACTCTTTGAAAACTGAATAACTTCCACTCTTAAAGTATATATGTATATATTAAATTATTGTACTCTTCCAATATTTGATGATTTGTCAAGAGTCATATATAACCCGTAGTCATCTGACTAGCTTAGAATAGTTTTGTTTCATCACTTTTTAAGTAGTTGATGGTGGTGACAAGATAGTAATATCTTTCTGGAAAAAAAAAAAGTACAGATAAGGTTTGATATATATCTTGACATATAAGTTTTATAATATTTGAAAATAGATAGTATCATGTTCCTTTTACATACTATTATTTAATTCGTTTTCTTTGCATCCGCTTTCTCATCTTTGGCTTGACCACGACCTAACAATTTAGCCAATGAATCCCAAATTCCTCCCAAGAACAAGGCGCAGAACAAATTTTCAAATGGCACGAATGGATCATGAATGCCAAGCAAAATTGATGATAACTAAAATATAATTTTGTCAATTTTATCTTGTTTCAGCAATGTTAAATATATACATTTAAAAAGAGATTCATGATATAGACATGTACCTTGAAATAGACGAAGAAGATGACAATACCAAAGTATACAAGAGCATGAGGTGCAGAAATGAGATCAGTCTTCTTATCTAGCACAAAGATAATCGATGCAACCATAGATGCTTTGGTTGGACTGTAAAATAAAATAATTATTTAATATTATTACATTTGCTAAAATATAGGGCTATATATAAAAAGTATATGATTTTTATATTTGTGCATTTTCATGCACAAACACACACACACGAATTATGAATTTTACATACAAACTGGGTTGCATGAATTCCATTGCAGTTGGTGTCCATACGCCACGTATAAGACGCTCAAACAATTTTGTAAATCCAGCTCCGTTACCTATATACATTATAATTACACACGGTATTAATTTTTAAACAACTTTAGATTGTATACAATGCCTGTTTATATATAATTTTACTAAAATAATATACACTCTATCCAATATATATTCAATTATGATTAACCTTTGAGCGTTCCAATCAATATCATAATAAGATATGCATTTGGATAAAGTTTTCCTGCATGAGTCACTCCATCATATACCTTTTTACACCTGTAAAAATATAAAATATTTTTTATGTAGATAATTTAATTATAGTATACTAAATTAATTTATTTAAAATCTCATTTTAAATAAATTTTAATGAATATTTCTTTTTATATACATAAAAACAGTTTCTACAAATACATAAAGCATAGATGTAAACAAATTTTTCAAAATATAGAGAAATATTGATATTTATTTACCTATAAATTTCTTTCATAGCAGCACATACTATCTTTACTGGTAAAAATTTGGCTACCTTATATCCAATGTCAAATGGCGTGTAAAATATCACATACCTAAAAGAATTATAATATTTATTTTAATTAATTTTTGCAAACATAGTTGCATATAAATAATATATTTTATAAAATATAAAGTGCTATATAAAAAGCACACAAGTCATTACCAACCAAACAACAGTTGCGACTATCACTTGTGGTGTATTTTTCAGAGGTGCAAGAATAGGTTCTCCTAATAATCCATTGCAAAGCATACCGCTTGCAAAGACAACTAACATCGTAGAGAGCCAACATGACAAAGGGTGCTTACGAGAAAATGCTTGTGCACCTGAAACAAACATGTTATTACGATTACTAATTTTTACATATTTATTATATATAAAATTCTAATTTTTGATGTTCATTTATTCTTATGCATTGTAACACTCATACACATCTTTCTTTCTACATGTTTTAAGCAGAAAAAGAAAAAAAATTATCTAAAACCATAGTATAATTTAGGAATATATAATTTAAAAATAATGTACAAAATATTACTTTTAGGAAATGTTTTAGTAAGTTTTGAAGTGTATATTTCAAACGACTATTATATTGTGGAATGTTGTGGATATATATGCTGTTTGAGATAAGTCAGTTAAAGAAACCTTACAAGTTCATATAACATAGTGTACATCTCTTATATAAAAAAGTAAGTTTCTATCAGAAAAAATTACTACTTTACGATTATGATTACAATTTATTTGTTAAACTTTAATCTTATACTTTTTTTATTTAGAAAGTTAATTTACAATTTATATCTTTAAAAAATGTTTTTGTATAAATGTGAGTTATTATTAAATTAATAAATAATCAATAATAAATGTATAAATATTAAAATCAAGAGATATTAATATTATATATTTTTATTTTATCTTAAATTGTATATATGTATATATAATTTTATTTAAATCAAAAAGACAAGAAAACTGCTTTTTATAGGCAATAAACCAATCAAAATTCGAATAACAGAATTAATAATAAATTTTGTGATGTCAACTAGTATGTTTTAGAAAAGCTACTTTTGAAAGAGCCTTTATTTTGGATAGTCTAGCTGTGTATGTGTGGCTAGGTGCATACTGAAATAGATCAGCTGGGTTGTCTATGTTATTACCTTGAGATAAAATTATGATAATTGTGCCAAAGAGCAAGATAAAATTTGCTCTTAATTCTGATTTTGATTTTGAGATATATATATATATATGTTCCTCTTAATATTCTAGTTTCTAATTGTTTCATAATACTTATATTTAAAATCTTATATAAATATGATATTACAATTATATAAAAAGAAACAATCGAATTATAAAGAAAAACATATAAATAATAAAAAAAGATCATTAATATGAAATTATATCCATTAATAAGTATAATAGTCAAAATTGTAAGTAAACAATAAATAATAGATATTTATTATTATGCATAATTGTTTACATATATTCTAATGTTCTCTCAATAAATAAATATTAAAATATTTCTTTAGTTATGCAATAACAATATTGTGGTATGCATAATATTTAATCATCTGTGCAATATATAATCAACTTGTGAGATAACATTATATAAACACGATAGAATAAGTTTCGACGTTTATCTGATTATCTGAGATATGTTTAAAAAAAGTCTCGTTTTGTGTTCACGATTACAGTGTCATAATAGCTCAATCCGTTATATGCCAAGATAATTTATGAATAACGAATCGATATTGAATATCTGCGATCAACGTTAATATATTATCAACGCGTGTTATCACGAATAATTATCAGTCGTTTCGCGTTTCATAAAACATCGGAAAATATATAATTAATATGATCATTATTCACCTGGTATTTAAAGTTTGTAAAAATGCTCAACCAAGGAAAAATCATACATCGGTACTTTCTGAATTTCTCGTGCCGGTTATTATTTCGCGCTCTTCTACGGCGGAGGAAGATTCGATCAAGAGAAAGAGGGAGGAAAAAACAGGGAGAGATATTTTATATTTACGTCTGTAAATATAAAACACCGCGACAGCGTGGGACGTGAACGTCGTCTCGGGAATGAGCGAGGTCGCGAGGAGCTATTCCGCGAACGAGAAGAGTCGCGACGTTCGGAGGAGCCCGCGCGTAAAGAGCATTATAAATTTAGAAACGGCGAGCTTACCGGGTCCCAGATCCTCCCTGACATGCAGCGTGCACAGTACGCAGTGCGCTATGTCGAAATACGGGAACATTTTCAGCTTGATGACCTGATTGGCCATGTCCAGGAACGCCTCGGGATCCATCGCGAACGCGGTGGTGTTACGCTCTCGCTCGACGAACAACCGATTCCCCAACTAGCGCGAGTCTCTCGACTTCCAGGCTTCCGATTCAAACGTCCGCTGCCGAGCGCCCGCGAGCGACGCTAGCTATGCGCTGTCTGCTGCGATCAGCCGCCCGTCCCGTCGTCTGCTAGACTAACCCAACCTCGAGCAGCGGAAATAAAAAGAGAACGGACGGGTCCTTCTTTACCGACCGCGCGGAATTAACATCTAGCTTCCAGCTCACTCGCCTAGATGGCAGCAAGTGTCTGCGCGGGCGACTTCAAGGGTGCGTTCGTAAACCTTACCCGCTGAGGTATAGGTTAACTTGACGGGGACTAGTCAGTGAACGTGTAGGGACACATCAATCTTCAAGGACTACCTAAAGTTTATGAACGATCTTGAGGTAAAACGATCGCGTAATATAAATTTGACAAATATAATTATCATCATATTATTTTGAATAATTATCTTCATCACTATGTTTATTTGTAGAATTCTAATGTAGATGAAATTTAATCTTAGTTTAATTTACTTTTAATTTTTTTAATTTGTAGAATTAGAATAAGATAAAAAGTAAGTTAAACCAATAAAATTGAAATTAATTTGCGTTAAAGAAGTAATATATAATATTTAGAAATAAATGAAAAAATCATACAAATTAACAATTAGTATTAATAATCTTATCGACTTCTAATATTACTATATATTTACCATTCATTATTCAATATTCGAACTATTCACTATAAATATTGCATATTTTAAATAAATAAGTATTTTTGAAAATATAAAATAAAATATTTTAATTTTTTTTTAGCAAACTATATTATACACGAAAGAAAGCATGAGTAGTGACAGAGAAAAAGCAATTATTGGCACGGCAATATCAATAGGAAAAAAACTTTTGTCCAATTACGAATTTGATTCCGATTCATCATTATCTGATAGTGAAACTGAAATTTTATTGACACTTATTTGCTCAAAAAAAAAGAGAAACAAGGCTAAACGCATTGAAAGATATGTGGAAGAAACCATTCATCATTTCACTGACAAACAATTTCAGTCAAATTTTAGAATAACACGTGAAACTTTCCAAAGTTTACTTATTATTGTTGGTCCACAAATAGAAAATACTAATACTACTGGAACTGGGAGACCAATGGTCCCAGTTGAAAAACAGTTATTAGCAACAATATGGCTATTAGCGACGCCAGATTCTTATAGGTATCCTGACATTTTTATATATATGTAACGCTGATTTTTATTAGAAGTATGTAAATGTTTGCTCTTTCTGTAATCTAAAAGTAAATAACATTATGATGAAAAGAAAATTTTACTCTAAAAATTCAGACAATACCAAAATCAATTGTATATTTATTTTTAAACTATCATTAAATATATATTTATTATGTCTAAATTTAATTTAAAAATGATGTTCTTTTATGTAACAACAGATCAGTTGGAGAAAGATTTGATTTAAGCAAATCTACATTATTTTCCTGCTTTGTTCGAATTACGACAGCTTTAAATGATTTAGCACCTCAAGTGATTCATTGGCCAACAGAACAGGAACTTCCATTGGTAAAAGAAAAATTTAAAGCTATGGCTGGAATTGATGGTGTTATAGGTGCTCTCGATGGGACATATGTACCAATTAAAGCACCATCAAAGGATCCAGAAACATATCGAAATCGTAAAATGCAGTACGCCATAACGCTGCAAGCAATTTGCGATGCTAATTTAAAATTCATAGATAGTTATTCAGGATATCCTAGTTCAGTACACGATGCTAGGATTTTTAGAAATTCTGACATTTATAATTTGATACGTCAAAATCCAGAAAAGTATTTTCCAAATGATGAATTTATTTTAGCCGATAAAGCTTATCCTACTTTAAAGTGGTGTATTACTCCATATATAAATCGAGGAAATTTGACAAGACAGCAGGGAATTTTTAATACACGAGTTTCACAGACAAGACAAACAATTGAAAGAGCATTTGCTCTTTTATTTGGTCGATTTAGACGCTTAAAATATTTGGACATGAACAGAGTCGATTTAATACCCAAAACGATACTTGCATGCTGTGTTTTGCATAATATATGTCTAGATTTTAGCGATGATTTGATATGCGAATATGTACAAGAAGGTATGGAGGCAATAATGGAAAAACCACAGGAACAAATTATATATGAAAATGAAAATGAAAAACGACTTGGAAATGAACGTCGCGATGCACTATGCAAAGCATTAAATCAAAATCGTCGACAAATGTAATATGTTCTCAGTGCTATATTCTGTAATATAACATATATTCTATAATATATTTTATAACTATATTTTATAATATAACATAAATAGGATATTCAAAAATAGGATCGCCCTAATACAGTTAAAATAAAAAATATACTTTTAAAATAATATACTATATAATAATATCAATTTAAAATAAACTTTTTCATTTAGATACTTTGAGGCGATATTTTTTAGAGTTAATACAGTAACCACGTCTTTGGCACAGATTTAAAGAAATTGAAAATCAATTTTTTTTTCGCATTCAAGAAAAATAATTTATTAAGGGTGCTTTCCTTTTAGCGACACAAGTTGACACAATCATCATTCTGTCTTTTTTAAACATTCAGGCTTTAATAAAAGATAGAATGATACTTGTGTCAGCTTGTGTCAACTTGTGTCGCTAAAAGAAAAACGTATTAATTCAAACAATTTTTAATCATTAACTATTCAATCTCATTTTTCTTGGATGCAAATCTTCTTATAATTTAAATTAATACTGATATACTTATCATTATATAAAATGTATTGCAGAGCCGGACGGAACAATATTAAATAATCTTATCACAGCTTTATAGCTTTTCCATTAATTTTTCCATCATGCGTTCATAAGAACTTATACTTTGTCGAAGAAGTTCTTGTTTTTCTTCGTGCCTGGCCTTCTTTGCGTTTCTTTATCTTCAAGTATAACTTGTAAATCACTGAGAGTTATTGTACTCGCTCTCTTTCGTTGTTTTTTTTTATTATCTTTCGCATCATCAAGATCTTTCTGTGTAACTGTAAAATAATAATGTAACTTATAATAAATGTAAACAAATTCTTAACCAAATACATTTATATAAAATAATAATATTTATCATACCTTCAAACTTAATATTGTCATTCGATGAACTTGCTATTGCAACAGGAATAACATTGGGTTTATTTCCAAACAATTCATCGAGTTCCTCAAAGTTATCACATTTTACTGGTGCTGCACCAGTACTTTTAGGACCCATATTATCTATTTTTTTAAATACTTTTTCTTCATGTATTTCATTTTTTCTTTACATTGTGCTGCAACAAAATTATAGCCTTCGCATTTCATACCACAGGCAATTTTAGTCCAGATATCGTCCTTTTTAATGCAATTGGAACTAAAATCATTTTGATACTTTTTGTACAAATGTAGCAGCATTGCTCTACTTTTATCTGTCCATAAGTTTTTCATTCCTTTATCCAGAACTTTTTCATTGCTCTCTTCTAAGGGTATCAATATTATGTTCTCAGTTTCTTCTAAGATAGATGTCGAACAGCGAGATGAATTTTCTGTATCAACATTTTTTTCGGGTAACATAATTTCTATTCCATACGGTTTGAGCAAAGTTTCAATAATATATTCCGTTAAAGGAATATAAGCCATTCTGCCTGCTGTAAAATATAATTAAAAGAGGTTATGTTATTTGTAAACGTTTTTTAACAATTAACTTGAGAATTATACAAAGCAATTTTTACAAAGGAACTAGATATTAAGCATTTATTAAGCATAATTCGTTCTTTGTCGTGTCTATTAAGACACAACAAAAGGCGAAATAAATGTACCAAATTTCTAAACATATATTTTGTAACTTACTTTTATTGTCACGTAAATAAACTTCCGACATTTCTGCGTTGAAAATTGGATTTCTATCGGCACCTTCTATAACTTTATACAAAGCTTGGGATTGTGATATCTTACAATTAGACATATTTGGTACACTATTGTAATTTCACTTATTTCACGTACGGACGGAGAGGTTTCTTTCCCCTGGTACGGAATTCTTGTGTAAAATGTGAAAAGTGCGTTTCTGCGCATGACGGGTAAACTCTACCTCAGTCGCGAGCAGGGTACATAAGGAGCACCCTGGGTAATTCCTCAAGAACTTTCTAAACGCATGTGGGTAAAGGTAACTTTTCCACCATAATGTATTTTTCGACTTTCTGAACGAGTTCAGAGACATTTATACCCTGCGGGTAACGTTTACGAACGCAGCCCAACTGGAGAAATTTTCAGAGACAACAATCGAGGAATTTTTTGATATCTGGGGGTCGATTGTGTATCTCAAAACCTAGTGAAAATGACAAAAGTGAGCATTCAGTTGATTGGCTAATTTTCACTATAGTGAAAACACGAAATATTTCACGTGAGATTATTCGACAAGAATTATTGTGTCGAATAATGTCAAAATGTGTCGTATATCCTACTGCATTATATGTTATGTAGAGTAGAGCGCGATTAAAATACGTATTAAAATACGTATTAAAAGAGAGGACATTACATTATACACCAGAATTTGCTGGTATGTAAATAATTATAGTGCATAATTGAGATAAGAAAAGGTATTTTTTAAATCTATTCTTTACAGCTCTAATTGTAAATGCATGTTGTGTTTTACATAATATTGCTTATAAATGGAGAATTCCATTAAATGAAGTATATTTGGAGGAAAAAGGAGAAGTGCCGATACCATTTAATGATATAAATATAATGCAAGCAGAAGAAGTACGAATTAAGAAATATTGTGCGATGGTATTTTGAATAGGATATATATTTATATATATATATATATATATATATATATTTATATATATATATTTATCACATAAATTGTATCGCATAAAATTAGTACATTTCATAATCTTATAATAAATTAATAATTAAGATTATCACAGTACATTTCTTAACTTTATAATAAAAGATTTTTAAACATTACTTTTTTATTAATGTATTATTTTATATCAATTCTCATAACACGTCGCGTCAATTTTATTCAAGCATGTTCAAAAATGTATCCGCCCCCGACCGAAATCCGAATGTTTATTCATAAAATTTAACATAATTTTTTTTTGTTTCTCTGTAACATTCATTCTTATTCACACCGTTCAAACTGCAGAGGTTATAAAGATAAAGGTATCACTGAAACATATATGCATGCATATACGCTTTACGGAATGTTCACTATGGTTTGTGCTCCCGTGAATCTAGAGATATCGTATTTTCATCTTGCTCATAGCCATTCGCGTGTATTTCTTCACGTGAAATGAATGTGCAAAAAGTGAGAAAAATCGACACAAATAGACAATCGATCCCCTGATAATCGGTTCTTGCATTTTTTGAATCTATTAGTCCTCCGGATACGAGTAATGCATTTTTTGGAATTAAATTTACTATGCATAATGCTGTTTTCATTACAATTTGGTTTCAATGTTTTGCTTTGCATAGGTTGCGCCACAGATTAATAGACAGATCGCCAAAGGTCTGGATGAAGGAGAGACCAGGGGGTCGATTGTGTATCTCAAAACCTAGTGAAAATGACAAAAGTGAGCATTCACTTGATTGGCTAATTTTCACTATAGTGAAAACACGAAATATTTCACGTGAGATTATTCGACAAGAATTATTGTGTCGAATAATGTCAAAATGTGTCATATATCCTACTGCATTATATGTTATGTAGAGTAGAGCGCGAATAAATAGGTTAAAATTTAAATTAAAATGGACATTATTAATGTTATATTGTTGGTAGAAGAAGAGGAAAGAATAATAAATATAAATAAAAAACAGCAAAATAATTTAAATTTAATAAGAAGAACATTAAGAGACACACAAAATCCATTTGATATCCCAGATAATGCATTCCTTAAACTGTATAGGTGATATATCCCAGAAAATATAATTTTATAATATTATATATATATATATATATATATATTATATATATTATATATATATATATTATATATATTATTATATATATATATTATATATATATATATATATATATATTATATATATATTATATATATTATATATTAATTTTATATTATATATAATGTAATTTTTATATATTTCAGATTAAATAAAGCTGCAACTATAGAGCTAATAGAAGAATTAATACCTTTTATGCCAATTAAAAAGAGAAAGACAGCAATTCCATCACATTTACAAGTTGTTAATTTTTCAAATATTTTCCTTCATCTTTCCTATTTTATTAAAATGTTCTTATGTTTTCTACTTTATACATATAAACTGGACAGTCAATGCTCAACAAATACCAAATGCTTTATACTATATTTAGTTAAATTTTCTTAATTTTTATTGTTTTACGTAAAATCGTACTCATTGGTGCACGTAATTTTTATATTAAAGTGCGTAATTTTTATCAAGTAGAAAATGCTGTTTATTATATAATTTTTATGCAACGGGTGCGCGGAAAGTCGCCCTTTCCGCACATGATGGGATTTTAGAAAGGGCTCCCTTTACACGCACCGATCGCATAAAATATTGTGACCAACATATGTGCGGGTCGCAAATCGGCCGAGAGTGCGGATTGTCGCACTCGGCTTCGCCTCGTGCGCCAAACTTCCGCATTCTCGTCCGATTTCCGATTTCCCGCACTTGTTAGCCAATATACTATTATAATCTTAATTTTTATTATGTTTTAGATTTTTGCTACACTTAATTTCTTTGCATCAGGTTCTTATCAAAGAAGAACTGGACAAGATTATTTATCAAGCATGTGTCAGACTTCCATTTCTGTTGCTATTCATGCCACTGTAAATGCAATAAATACAGTTATGGGACGATGGATAAAATTTCCAATATCAAACAGAAGAAAACAAGAGATTAAAGAAGAGTAAGTACTTGAATCGCATATATAAAATTGAAGTTAATTTGTACAAAATATGCTCTGTAACATAACTCTACCTGAACTTATTATATAGATTTTTTGAGAAAACGGGATTTCCAGGAGTAATTGGAGCCATAGATGGAACTCATATTGCTATCTTTCCACCAAAAATTGAACGAGAACATCTATTTATAAATAGAAAACTATATCATTCCTTGAATGTTATGATCGTACGTATAAAAATAGTATAGTAATATAAAAAAAGAGTATAATAAAATAATTAGACGCATATTTTTTCTTTAAATAAAAATCTGATCTGATAGAGTTCGATTATTCCTCCATTTATCGTCGATTGCTCTATTTTTTCTTTTACATTAAAAATTGCTAAGTGTAATTTGTATTCAATAAAATTCGCGCCAATTATATAATTCGGTGTGTTCGAAAATTTTACATGTTTCTGTTAGGTTTCTTCATATAACTATGAAATATTAGCAGTAAATGCTATGCATGGGGGAAGAACACATGATTCTAGAGTTTTCCATTCCTCTCAATTATTTAATTATTTACAAAGACGACAGGCAGCAGGTGAAAGAGGTTCATGGCTTATAGGTATATCATTGTATTTCTTTATTATTTTGAATGATTAAATAATATATTTAAATAATAATATTAAGTATTAAATAATAAGATTAAATAATAATATTATATCCTTTAATAAACATTTTAGGAGATTCAGCGTACCCACTTATGCCATTTCTTTTAAAGCCATTCATGAATGCACCTGCAGCGTCACCAGAAGCTAGATATACAGAACACATAGTTAAAGCACGATCGGCAATAGAAAGATGCATAGGTGTCCTTAAAGGACGGTGGCGATGCCTTAGAAAAGAGAGGACATTACATTATACACCAGAATTTGCTGGTATGTAAATAATTATAGTCAGGGTTGGGAAGTAACGAGTTACTTGTAACGAAGTTACAGTTACAGTTACTTTTTTTCGGTAACTGTAACTTAACTTCGTTACTTTTCTCCATCTGTAACTGTAACTGTAACTTAGTTACATTTTTTACTAACTAGTAACTATTTTAACAGTTACTTTATTAATTACTTTTTTTGGAAACATCCGCTAAAAGTATCGTTTAAGTATGGTAGCCGTTATATTATTAAATTAAATTTTGATAACAATAGCATATATATATGGATCTTCATATGATTTAATCTTTTACCTAAAATTTTAATTTTGTGTACATAAAATAATACAACACATAATTACAATCGACCAATCACAGTCAAGTATTTAAAAAAATTCTTAAATGTAATAATTGATCGATTTGCTTGCAACTTTGCGATTACCATTTAGTAAGTTACCATATATAACTATTTTTACTGTTGTATATAAAGGTCATTCATACATTGATGGTAATCACAAAGTCGCAAGCAAATCGATCAATATTACATTCAAGAATTTTTTTAAATACTTGACTGTGGTTGTGCATAAAATGTAAGCTCCTTATATTTAAAATAATGTATAATTATTTTTAAAAAGTAATTGAAAAGTAACGACTCGTTACTTTTTGAGTAACTGTAACTGTAACGAGTTATTTTTTAAAATCGGTAACTTGTAACTGTAACTAGTTACTGTTTCAATAAGATAACTGTAACTGCAACTAGTTATTTTTACAAAGTAACTTTCCCAACCCTGATTATAGTGCATAATTGAGATAAGAAAAGGTATTTTTTAAATCTATTCTTTACAGCTCTAATTGTAAATGCATGTTGTGTTTTACATAACATTGCTTGTAAATGGAGAATTCCATTAAATGAAGTATATTTGGAGGAAGAAGGAGAAGTGCCGATACCATTTAATGATATAAATATAATGCAAGCAGAAGAAGTACGAAGAAATATTGTGCGATGGTATTTTGAATAGTATATATATATATTTATATATATTTTTTTTTGCACATAAACGGTACACTGATCTACTTATCTATACTTATCTATACTTATACTATACTTATCTATACTTATCTATACTTATCTACTTATCTATACTTGTTCTTCCATCACCATTGTATTTTCAAAAAACCGTATAACAAGTTTCCTAATAAAGTATACCGTCTATATTACAAGAATGGTTTATTAGGTATTGTCTTTGAAAAATATATTTAGCCACAATTTATGTTCCAGAATTTATAAAAAAATTTTAAATATCAATTTGTAATAAATTGCTTGGTAGCACTATATTTATATATATATTTATCACATAAATTGTATCACAAAATTAGTACATTTCATAATCTTATAATAAATTAATAATTAAGATTATCACAGTACATTTCATCAAAATCTTAATAAAGACAACTTTTGTAACACGTGTTAATTTTATTTCAATCTTTTCGAAAGCAAAATCAAAATCAAAATGAACTAACAAATCATATTAATCAAAATCTTAATAAAGACAACTTTTGTAACACGTGTTAATTTTACTCAAATCTTTTCGGAAGCAAAATAAATCAAAATGATCTAACAAATCATATTAATCAAAATCTTAATAAAGACAACTTTTGTAACACGTGTTAATTTTATTTAAATCTTTTCGAAAGCAAAATCAAAATCAAAATGAACTAACAAATCATATTAATCAAAATCTTAATAAAGACAACTTTTGTAACACGTGTTAATTTTACTCAAATCTTTTCGGAAGCAAAATAAATCAAAATGATCTAACAAATCATATTAATCAAAATCTTAATAAAGACAACTTTTGTAACACGTGTTAATTTTATTTCAATCTTTTCGAAAGCAAAATCAAAATCAAAATGAACTAACAAATCATATTAATCAAAATCTTAATAAAGACAACTTTTGTAACACGTGTTAATTTTACTCAAATCTTTTCGGAAGCAAAATAAATCAAAATGACCTAACAAATCATATTAATCAAAATCTTAATAAAGACAACTTTTGTAACACGTGTTAATTTTACTCAAATCTTTTCGGAAGCAAAATAAATCAAAATGATCTAACAAATCATATTAATCAAAATCTTAATAAAGACAACTTTTGTAACACGTGTTAATTTTATTTCAATCTTTTCGAAAGCAAAATCAAAATCAAAATGAACTAACAAATCATATTAATCAAAATCTTAATAAAGACAACTTTTGTAACACGTGTTAATTTTACTCAAATCTTTTCGGAAGCAAAATAAATCAAAATGAACTAACAAATCATATTAATCAAAATCTTAATAAAGACAACTTTTGTAACACGTGTTAATTTTACTCAAATCTTTTCGGAAGCAAAATAAATCAAAATGATCTAACAAATCATATTAATCAAAATCTTAATAAAGACAACTTTTGTAACACGTGTTAATTTTATTTCAATCTTTTCGAAAGCAAAATCAAAATCAAAATGAACTAACAAATCATATTAATCAAAATCTTAATAAAGACAACTTTTGTAACACGTGTTAATTTTATTCAAATCTTTTCGGAAGCAAAATAAATCAAAATGACCTAACAAATCATATTAATCAAAATCTTAATAAAGACAACTTTTGTAACACGTGTTAATTTTACTCAAATCTTTTCGGAAGCAAAATAAATCAAAATGATCTAACAAATCATATTAATCATATTATTCTTAAATTTGTCAGACAGTTTATGGTGAATCTTGAAAATTTATCAAATACTGTCCACCAATTTCTTCTCGTATAGATAATATATTATTATTTAAATTCTGTAGTTCTTGCAGAATACCTTTATCAACTGCTAATTTTTCTTTGTTTAATTGTAGTTTTTCTTGTTTTAGTTCTAACATTTTTTGTTTTAAGTTTTCCGATATAGAAGATTTCCTTTCTAATAAGTTCATTGCAGTCGTCATAAGTTTTGGTTTCTTTATACCTAAATAAAGGGATGTTTGTAAAAAAAACTGAAAATTTATAACTAAAACTTAAAACTTATATGTGTAAATATTAATACATTTTTTAGTTTTCGTACCTTCTGAATATTTTGTCGATGCAAGTCCCTTAGCACTTGGAGCTGTATAGATTGCCTGAGTATCTTGCTCCTATTAATTATATAAAAACATAATATGAAATCACATTCAGGATTTCTAAAAATTGCAATACTATATCATAAAAAAATGATAATACATACTAAAGCATTATCGTCGTTTTCATTAGATGATGAATCGAATACATTGGTCATAACTTTTGGTTTCTTCGTACCTAAACAAAGGAATGTAATTACAATATTTATTATACATGTAAATATTAATATATTTAATATAAATTAGATTTTTTAATACCTTTTAAATATTTTGTCGATACTAATCCCTTTGCTGAAGCTGTATAAATTGCCTGATTATCTTGCTCCTATTAATTATATAAAAATATAATATGAAATCACATCTAAGATTTCTAAAAATTGCAATACTACATCATAAAAAAATGATAATACATACTAAAGCATTATCGTCGTTTTCATTATCAGATGATAAATCAAATACAGTGTTCATAACTTTTGGTTTCTTCGTACCTAAATAAAGGAATGTAATTAAGATATTTATTATACATGTAAATATTAATTTTAATATAAATTAGATTTCTTATACCTTTTAAATATTTTGTCGATACAAGTCTCTTTGCACTTGAAGCTGCATAAATTGCCTGATTATCTTGCTCCTATTAATTATATAAAAATATAAAATGAAATTCTATCTACGATTTCCAAAACTTACAGAATTATTTATTACAAAATTGCAATATTATTTATAAAAAGAATCGTAGTACTTACTGAAACGTTATTGTCTTCAATTTCAGATGAATGGAATATTTCATTGCTAAAATTATGTAGTGCCAAATCCTGATTTGGTATTCGAGGAGAAATGGGTTGAGAACATAATATCAACTGATTTGGCATTACATCTTCAAATCCGCCTTCAGATATTCCTGATAGGCCAGTAGCGTCTGGAGTTAAAAAGTCCAATAAACTTTGTTCAATTAATGTTAATTGTAGATTTTTAGCAGGTGATCCACCACCTGTTCCCATCATATGTGTCTTCTGTTTTGCAATTTTCTTTAATGTGTTGGATTTCCAATCTCTCCACGTCTAAATAAAAAAAATAAAGATCAGTGATGAATAATAATTTAAAATACTTAAAACTCAAAAACAAATATTACATAAAATTAAATATGTTGATGTAAACTAACTCGCTACTTTATCACAGATTTTGTTACAACTATTAGATTTATATAAAACACTAATAAAATGTAATAAAATTTACCTTGGCCCATTCTTTAGCTGATTTGTACGGCCCACATCCAGCTGTATTTAATATTTTTGTTAATTTTTCCCACAGTTCATCCTATAAACGTTTAGAAATTAAAGATTGTTAAATCATATTTTTAGGAAATCTAAAATAATATTTATTACGTTATTAATCGCAATATCCATTACTTACCATTTTTCGCTTATTTTCATTATTGTATCTTATCCGCCCCCGACCGAAATCAGAATGTTTAGTCATAAAATTTAATATAATTTCTTTTTGTTTCTCTGTAACATTCATTCTTATTCACAGAGGTTATAAAGATAAAGATATCACTGAAACATATATGCATGCATATACGCTTTACGGAGTATTCACAATGGTTTGTACTCCCGTGAATCTAGGGATATCGTATTTTCACCTTGCTCATAGCCAATCGCGTGTATTTCTTCACGTGAAATGAATGTGCGAAAAGTGAGAAAAATCGACACAAATAGACAATCGATCCCCAGCATTTCTCACTGATTTCAGCGCCATATCGTAGTAGTGGTCAATGCAGTAACTATTAATACGTTCCCAAGATAAGAGCGTCTCATGCTCATGAACTCGTCCGGCGGCATGTACGAGATTTATCTTTTCGTAGCGTTCGCGTATTTCGGAAAGGACAGAATTTTATGATGTTATAAATAAATAAAATTTTAACCTGACCTATTATAATTATTTTTTAATAAATGTTTCATTATTATTATCATCTAAGTCTAAGTCGTTTAATTAATTTTTAGTTTTTTAATAATTAATTTAATTTATTCTAATCATTTTAATATGTGAAAAATACTAATACGTATACGTTTTATAATGAATTAATATATTTCGAGAGTCGAATTATATATTTTTAATAATATAAAAGTGTTCAAAAATTATATTTGACTTTTAATTTTAATTATTTTAGCAAAGAGTTCCGAAATCTCTTACACACATAATAGGGATTTTGTTCATCCATATAATTCGCAATTAAGTATATATGTTAATTATTAATTTTAATAAAATACAAAATTAAAATTAAAGGTCAAATATAATTTTTGAACATAAATATATTTAATTCGTTATAAAACGTATACCCGTGATAGTATTTTTCTCGTACAAAAATAACTAGAACAAATTAAATTACTCATAAAAAAATTAAAAAATAATTAAATAATTTATATTATATATGATAATAATAAAACATTTTATAAAAAAAACAGATTCAATAAATATAAGTATATATATAACATGTACTTATATTTATTGAATCTGTTTTTTAATAAAATGTTTTATAAGCTTAGAAAACTTGACTTTGACGTAACTAGCAAATTTTATTTAATTATTTCACGACGGTTTGACGTAATAAAATGTTTTATTATTATTATATAAAATATAAGTTTAAATTCTTTAATTAATTTTTAATCTTTTATGATTAATTTAATTTACTCTAATTATTTTTGTACGAGAAAAATACTATCATGGGTATACGTTTTATAATTAATTTAATATATTTGTGTTTAAAAATTATATTTGACCTTTAATTTTAATTTTTATTTTATTAAAATTAATAATTAACATATATACTTAATTGCGAATTATATGGATGAAAAAAATCCCCATTATGTGTGTAAGAGATTTCGGAACTCTTTGCTAAAAAATAATTAAAATTAAAAGTCAAATATAATTTTTAAACACTTTAATATTATTAAGAATATATAATTCGGTTCCCAAAATATATTAATTCATTATAAAACGTGATATTATTTTTCTCACATAAAAATGACTAGAATAAATTAAATTAATTATTAAAAAACTAAAAAGTAATTAAACGACTTAGACTTAGATGATAATAATAATGAAACATTTTATTAAAAAAAGATTCAATAACTAGTAGGTCAGGTTATAATTTTTTATTTATTTATTTATAACATTATGAGCTATTAAGCTCATCATCACGTTCGCTCTCTGTCTTGCTTTCATTCGGCAAGTCACAAACGATATATGATACTCGTATGTTCCTACTTCAACTCTCGAGAATCTGAAACAAACGAAACTCGTGTCCAATATACAGGGTGTCCGGTAACTAACAGACCAATGATTACAAATGGATTCTTTGGTCAATTTGGGAACGATTTTTCCTCAGCGAAAATGTCGAAAAAGGTCATCATTTTTTACAACTTTCCAATCTTTGTCATTATGTATCTTTATAACTAAGCCTTAAATTAAAATTTTATTATAGTAAACTCTACCTGAAATTAACTGAAGAATGTAATTATGTTAGACTTTTAACTCCAAAACGTTTAGTTTTCAAAAAACCTATTTTTTCAATCGCTTATAACTCGAAAATTATTGACTTCTCAACATTTTTGCTAAGGAAAAATCGTCTCCAAATTGGCCAGAGAATCCGCCCTTAATCATTGGTCCGTTAGTTACCGGACACCTTGTATATATTATATAAAAGTGTATAGCACGTCAGAAGCTTGTGAGCTTACAGCGATAAGTAAAAACAATTGCGTATTTATTTCATTGCGTTTATCTGTTTAAACGCGCGCTTTAATTTTTCCAACGTTTTTGCTTGTTTATATTTTAAAGGTCCTCTCTTCTAAAAATCTTGTTTTAAAGATCCTCTTCGCGAGCAAAATTCGAAAACATAAATTATTTAATATTTTTACTTTATTATTTGTAAATCCTCGGTAATTTCAAAATTTTTCTATTTGAAAATTATTAATTTTCTATTGCCAATTAATTTTATCACAGACTTTACTCTTACTCCCATTGCACTTTCGTTTGCGGTTTTCAGTATACGATTTTTTATCGTAGTTACTGAAAATTATTATTGTGAATTATACTTGTGCAGTGATTTGAAGAATTTACAATTTCGTTGAAATTGTTGATTTTTCAAAAAAATTACGAGATTCGCGGAAATTGCGTGCTTTCTTGGCATTTTCCGTTCGCGGCAGGCGGTTTATTTTTGATTGTTGCAAGTGTTTTGTTTTTTTTTTTATTAAAATAGATAATAATAATGTGAAATAAATCACGATATTTGACAGATGTGCATATATATAGAAATTGTAATAATAATAATATTATATCATAAAATTGTAAATTGTTTCAATTTTTTATAGACTGCGATAAAAGATTTTACATTTGGATAAGAAACTGCGGTAAGTAAAAATATAAAATTCTTGAAAACGTAAAAATATTTAATAACGTAAAAAGGTGAACTTTGAAAAATAAGGAACTTAAAAATTGCACTAATAAATGGGCTATATATATGTGAGCCGTGCGCGGATGTAAGGTGTGTGTTATATCGAAATTTAATTAATAGAATTGAGAATTAATCCCAATTTTAAGTCTTACAAATGTCCAAGCTAATTTTTTGTACCTCGTGTACATTTTTGAAAGTTATATCGAAAAATTAAATTTCAATATGTGTCTTACATCTCACATTTCGCATACAGCTCACATATAGCCTATTTATCTCTTATACTTTATTTCAACCCTTATAGAAATTTATTACTAGTAACGCCAATTTATCACTTATTTCGAGTAATTAATCACTTTTATTTCGAATACTTAAATTACTGTATATTATAGTATTTTAAATACTCAAAATAAGTGATTAATTGGCGTAGTGATAAATTTCTACAAGAGAATAAGGAGCCTTTAAATTCTTAATGTAAAAAATTTCAAGTAATTTTCTTTAATAAAATTTAATTAAAAAATTTAATTAAAAAATTTTTGAACACTGTGTTATATCACATTTAAAATCGTGATTATTTCAATAAAAAAACATTTTATGTGTAAAAAATATATTTTTTATATTTAATAAATTTTATATATATATATGCATATATGTAAAATATTCTCTCTCTCTCTCTCTCTCTCTCTCTCTCACACACACACACACACACACACGCACAACGGGGGCCAAATCTCTCAAATTGGTCTCATGATCAATTAGCTTGGATTCGCACCAGGGGCAAAGTCTGTTGGTAATGTCAAACGAATTTAGCCTGGACTTGCACCAGGGGCAAAGTCTTTTGGTCGAGTCTACGAAATTTAGCACGGACTCGAACCAGGGGCAAAGTCTTTTGATTCAAGTCTACGAAATCTAGCACGGACTCGAACCAGGGGCAAAGTGTGTCGGTAAGGGGCAAAGTCTATCGCACGAAGATGGCGGTCTCTTCTTTAGGCAGGCCTTTGGCGATCTGTCTATTAATCTGTGGTTGCGCTTTGTATTTGGCGCCACGTGTGCTTCGTTCAATTGACCAATCAGAGCGAGGCAATTTTGGCGCTCACGGATGCTACGTGCGCTCTTGCACCGGCGTCTTCTTCCTCTTTTCCGCGGGAACGCCGTAGTGTGAAGGAGCGGAGTCTTTGCGCTCTGATAATATTCGCAGGTAAGAGCCGACAATGAGATAATCGAGCGAAATAGACGCGATTATTCGCAATAACATTATTCTGTGAATAAATTAGATTATTTATTAGAGTTATATATATGGTTATATATATATGTATTTATTGGAGTTATATACAGGTTATATATATATCTATCGATATTTCGAGAGACGAAAATCAAGCGATTTTTTTGATCAGAAAAAAATGGACTGTTCCATATATAAATTATAAAATATATCTTATAAAGTATATATTATATTTTATCAAATATATATTAAGTATATATTAAGTAAATGCTACTTGAGAACTTTTATTTTGATGAAATAATTAATGCATTGGACATATATAAGTAAATTTTGCCTGAAAAACAATAAATTTCTTCCAAATTTAATTTTCATTTTTATATCATTTTGCAGGTACTATGTGTGGTGTGTGTATCTCGTATTTTATCCACGATATATTGTGTGCCCAACAACATACCCTCTGGTATAGTATGTAAGTTCTTTTTATAACGATATATTTTTTCTAAAGCAATTAATATATTAGGACCATAACAGATGTGAATTTTACATATCTGTTATGGCCCTAATATACCATTGACTCAATTAATTTATCCCTCAAAAAAAGGATATTTGATTTAAAAAAAATCATATATCTCTTTCTTGATTTTATAAGATCAACACACACAATTTATGATACAAAATTAAAATTTTCTGTGTGATAAAATCACATATAATCGCGTGCTCTTATTGTTCTGTTTATTTCTGATGGAAATATATATTTGTATAATATATATCATTATTTAATTATTAATGAATTATCGACAACAACAAGTAAACATAATGATATAAAAATAGATATTTTAATTTTTGATTTCTGATAAATAATTTCTGATTTTTTTACAATGCTGTATATATTTTTGTTTTTTAATATATTGTATGTTGCAAGTTTTATTAATTTATATTTTTTTTAAATTCTTAACATATTTTTTTATTATAATGATATATTAACATATTAACTTATTTACCGTGTGAAAATAATAACAATGATTATCAACTGTTAATATAAATAGAAACAATATGTAAAATATAAATATATAATATTTAATATATTATTTTTAATTACATGCTTTTTATTAATTACATTTTTAATAAATAAAATATGTATATAATTCTTTCTTAAAATTTTTTTCTAACTTTTTAATGAGTTTGATAAATATTTCTCTTAAAAAATTGTACGGATTTTACTTTGATTTTGTTAAATAAATAAATCTTTATAATTTTTAATAGATGTAATGTTAGTATTGCTTATGTTAATATTTTTTTATATATTCTTTTGCAAAATTTAGAAAATTTTTGTTTATAATTTAAATGTGAAATAATTTGAATAATTTTCTTATTACGACAAGCAGAACATACATAAAATTAATTTAGTCTTATCATTCGTATGTATATAGTATTAAAATAAATGAGTAATATAAAATTAATGTAATGTATTTATGTACAGATATGCCAATTACTGTGCGGATATACTATAGATGACTTGAAGATCTTCACATGAAACATTAGCATTGTATCGTAAATTTATGTATATATATATATATATATATATATATATATATATTGATTTTTATATCATTATATATATATAATATATTATTCAAATCTATTACATATAAGTTTTAATGTGATTCCAACAAAAACATTCATTACAGTATAAGTTTTCATATGTGATATATATTTTACTAAACATTGAATGTGTTCATCTCTAAAAGATGAGAATTTTACATGATCTTTATCGGAATTTACGCTATTGTCTTATTACTTTGAATCCCTCATATGTATATCTATTAAAAAAACAATTTTTCTCTTTCATGATCTTTATAAGACAACCTGCAATTTTTTATACGAATATTTTTCGTGATATCAATGATAAGTGTGTGCTTTATTGTTTTTTTATTTTTTAATGGAAATATCATTTTATAATAATATCATATTTAATTATTAATGATTTTTAAACACAAGTAATCATAACGATTTAATATATATATTTTAAAGTGATATACTATAAATAATTTCTGAATATTCGACGTGCTTTTACCATTTTTTTTTTTTAATATAAGTCAATTATTTTATTAATTTATATTTTTTTAAAATTCTTAAACATTTTTTATTCTTATAATGATATATTAAATATTAAACTTTTTACCGTGTAAAATAATAACAATGATTATTAACTGTTAATATAAATAGAAACAAATTAAAATATAATATATAATATTTATAATTATTTTATTACATCTTTTATTAATTACATTTTAATAAATAAAATATGTATATTCGTTTCTTTAAATTTTTTCTTCTTTTTAATGATTGATAAATATTTTCTTACAATTCACATAATATCGAACTTTAATTTAGTTATAAATAAATCTTTATAGTTTTTAATAGATGTAATGTTAGTATCCTCCTGTCCAATAATGTTCGCCTCGATATGATTCTCTTGAATTTGAAAATAGTTTATAATTTAAATGTGAATTAATTTAATAATTTTTTTTACCGCTGCGAATTAATAAAAAATTAAATCCGATCATTCGTATGTATATAGTATTAAAATAATGAGTAATATACAATTAATGTATGTATTTATGTACAGATTGCCAATTTGTGCTACTATACTATAGTTGACTTAAAGATGACACACGAACATTAACCAACTCATGACACAATTTATTGACAGGTCATTTTAAATCTAATATGATTATATATAATATATGTAATATATGTACGATGATAATTGATTTTTTTATCAATGTGTATATCCCATGCATATTAATAATTTACATATACGTTGATTCAGTAAAAATTCATAATGCAGTGCTCTAAAAATTATTTACTTATCATATAGGATTTTTTTTTTATTTATTGTTAGATTTGGACCAGTTTGAATGTGTTCATCTCGAGATGAATTTTTTTCTTCATGACTTTTCGATCTGAAATACGCTAATTGTCGTTATCACTTTGAATTTTGTTAACTATAAAAATTGAAAATGTAACATTGTAAAAATTCTCTTTCAATTATGTATACTGAAGAACAACACGTGAAATCTTTTTTTTTTAATATGACATATGTTTGATAATGATATACTTATATAATGATAAGTTGTGTGTTCGTTTTCAAAGGTTTTTTTATTTTTAAAGGTAGATCATTCTATTAATATTTCTTATATTTATCATAGTTTGTTTATTTATTAAAGAGTTTTCAATATAAACGACAATAATTATAACTTTTTAATTTTATAGTTGTTTAATAAATAATTAATTTATACCTACATTGAAATTGTATAATTTTGTATATTAAAATTTTCGACAACGCATTATTAGTAATATGGTATTTGATCTTGGTGTCAACAATAGCACGCTATTAATTTTTTCGCTCTTATTAATAAATTAATGATTATTAAACTATCGATATATAATCGACAAAAATGATTTTATTAATTATTGAATTTATTAATTATTTATTATTGAAAGTAAAAATTGTAGCAACAGGTATAAAAATTAAAAATTATCGTTTTTCTTACGAATTTTTGATTATCGAGATTTTTATGGCTAATAATTATTTCTCTAATAATGCATGCTTTCAGAATCATATATTTCATCTAATAATTTAAGTTTTCTTAACATGATAGCATAAATTAATTATTAAATCAATTAAATTACTATCAAGATTTTTAATTATTTTAATCTTTTGCTCTGACGATTCCACACATGTGTTTTGTATTTATTAAATCATATAATAATCTCCAATAATAAATTTTTGAAATAGTAATTAATTTGAACGCTGACTATAATTTAGATTTTATATTTGTATGTTACAGACGACGCGTAAAATTCGGGAGTGCCGTTAAAAGTATTGTACGTACAAGTGCGGGAGTGCCGTTAAAATTAAGTATCGCGCGTGTTAATCAACTTTGACGACTCTGATAACTTATTAGAGGAGGAGGAGGTCTGGGAAAGACGTCGGGCACCAGCGCAACAACCATGGGGTAAGTATTTATGATTGGTTTATTTTAATTATTAAATAAAAGTTTATAAAATTATTTATATATATATATATATATATATATATATATATATATATGTATGTATATAATCTATTTATTATTGTATGCATTGAATATAAAATTTATTATAATGCATAGACAATAATAATTTTTTTAAATATTAATTCTTTTGAGCGCTGTTACAATTTGAATTTTATTTATATGTTATAGATCACCGTAGCTTCAGGTCAATGCAGTTAACTTCGCTGTTACGCATCGACCGGTGAGTAAAAATTTTTTTTAATTACAAAATAATAATTTTGTAATGTAAAGAGATTTGAGTGTATAATAAGATGTGTAGATCTAACTTATGTCACCATATTTTTTCTATATTATTTATTATCTTTCGAATGATTATTTTATTAATGATTTCGCATATTTTTGATCATTTTTTTCATTTTTAATCAGTTTTAATAATTAGTTGTATAATTAATTTTTTCAAAATTGTAAAGTCTCTATATTTAGATATCATAACGTTAAATTACCATATGACACATCGTTTTTCAATATTTTTAAAATCAAGCGAAAGACTATTTCATTAATGTTAATGCAACAAAATTTTAAGTTGCTAAAATATACAAATATAGAATTGATTACTATTTATCAATTTCGAAGTGTGAGAAAACATTTAAAGATCATAACTAAAAATCACGTTTAATTGATAGCAATTATAATATATGGTTGGATCATTACTTTGAGTCATATTTGTACATTGATTACTATTTGTTTTGCGATTAATATAGTTAAAAATTGTTTGTTTTATATATCCTCGTTCGCTGTTTGTTGATTTACTGTATATATGTATACTTTTAATATTATTATATATGTATAATATAATAGCTATTTCAAGAAGGTAAGTGAAAATTAATTGGGTATTAAAAATAGCCTTGTAGAGATGAATATTCTATTTTATAAATATATTTTGCGAAAAGTTTAGTTGTTTTGAAAAATCAATTTTACATCGTGATTGATCTGTTATTTCGAACTCAGACCTAATTTCTATTTCTGAGTGGAAAGTGTTTTTAGAGAACATTACATTTCAGTTGAAAATGTGTTAATATTAGCTAACTATGATGTTAACAATAAGAAAACATAAACTAATAAATATTTATTATATGTATGCATAGATGTTATGTTTATTGATTGCTTATTACATATTACATTAAATTAGTCGTTATTTATAATATATAAATATAGTTTAGTAAAACAGAGCAAGTACAATGTTTATATAAATAAAATACATATATATAAATATATGTTTTAAACAAACATTAATGAAGTTAATAACTTTGAAAACAATATAAAATAGAACCAAATCGTTAAGAATTATATAAATTATGTATTTTACAATACAAAATTACATATATTTTAAATTTCGAATAGAAATATTAAGCTATTTTATTTCTGGTGTGTATATTTATTGTACACATAAACAGAAAAAACGCTATTTTCTTCTTAAAATGTATTTTTTTTCAAGAAATACTCAAAGAATATAAATATATTCTTACGTATTCTTTGTTTATAGCATAAGGCATACGATATCAAATCGATATCAGAGAGAGACTATGAAAAAGCATCTGAGAAAGATAATAATTAAATATTTATTAGTGCAAAGAACAGTCTATATAAATCGAGAAATAACATATGGTTTTGCATGGACTCTTTTGTTATTTATTAGTAAAAATAAATGTATAAATATATATGTATATATAATATATACTATATTTATATATATTTACATGTGTGTGCTAAATGAATATAAATGGGTCTTATAATGTGTTTAGAAAATGTGGTTACAAATTATTCATGACAGCCATTTATTGATTATTGTTTATACTAATTACAATCAGAATTTGCAATATTTTTATTATAGTTTTAATAGAGAGAGATTTATAGGGGGGTTACGTAAACTATCTCACTCAATTCTTCTGACGGATTCAAAGATTTACAATACATCAAATGGAAGGAAAATTGCGACTTCCAACCAATTTTACATACAATTTATTCATATTAATCTTTCGCATTTTTACATCTATAACATAATTAAAGATAGGACATGAATAAAACATTGTGGACTATAGAAACATTAGAGCCTGAAGCAATTTATTGTTTTATAACAATATATGCAACAAACATAGATACATAGCAACATAAATCTCACATATTGCATGATTGAAATTAGTCAGTTACAATCTTTACCAGAAAGAGGAATTTGTTAATATTCTTATTATAATAGTATTATAATTGTGTATTATTTCATTAAGGTTTAAATATATATGTAGAAATAAAAAAAATTAAACATAGATCAAATTATTTTAAATAAGAATCATGCTAAAGATAAAACTGAGCAGAGTGTCTTAGTAAAATCAGAAAATTAAATTTAATCTTGAATCAGTTGGCCATACAAACCAGTTGGCCTTCAATATCGTTGATAATTCTCGCTCAAAAATAAAAATAAAATGACACAGACAATGATCGAGAACATAATTGTGTATCTACAATAACATTATTGATTAACATTCAGAGAAAAATATAATTCCTATCTATATGTCACGATGCATTAGATATTTATACATTATTCAATCTTAGCTTACACATCACCTGCTTCCCATATTTTTTTATTTTTCGAAATAGAGGACGTGAAATCATATTGTCGTATAATTTCGCCGATATATATGTATTTCATAAATTAAAATAAATCTCTTGTTTTACACGTTGGACCTATACAGGGTGTTTTATAAAAGATTAATAGTAGAGATGCATTTTTCATAAACTCTGAATCGATTTTTCTTTATGATAAAGTTGTATACGTAATAATAAAATTTTATTTATGCAATTCTAATTACAAAATTATAAACATTTGAAATTTAATATTTTTGGTAAATTTTAATTCTACGTAAAATCTTGCCCTGTTGTTGAAAGGCAATGTTATTTTAGCTAAAAACTATTATTTTAAAATTTGTCACTATATATTAACATAATTTAATTTGAGAATTTAGAAATTATAATTAATTACGATCTTGATTCAAATTTTTCACGTTAAAAACTAATCTTTACTGAATTTACTCAAGAATATATCGATCACTACTACTGATAACTTGTTTTTACATTACACCCTGTATGAATTAACAATAATACTGATGTAGGCATCCTTTGAAAGACATTGCTTGCATGTACAATTGTAGTTGACAAAATATATTTTTATCTTATTTAATTTTGCTAATTACATGATTAATATAACGTTTTTTTCACAATGCATGCAGGTTGCAAGATATAAATCGTAGACGCGCAATTATAAATAAAATTTTTTTATAATTATGTTAAATATTAATCTAAAAAGACATTCATTTTTATTATTAGCAGATATTTGTTTATGTGCATATCCTTTGTTGTTTGGATAAAATACATAAATTTAGTAATGATTCAATAATAATACGCTTAATAATAACACAATGCTTGGTTTAAATCAAGTTCTAATTGGACATCATATAATTAAATAAAGTCATATAATTCCATACACAGACTCATGTCTGTTAAAATAAAATTTATGCCAATTTCAATCGATATTTTTTACGTGTTTTAGATTAGATTGTAATTGATTAATGTAATAAAGAAATATATATATTTAATATAATCAAGTCATAGACACACATAATTATACAAGATATCTGCTAATCTTAAACAACATTTATTCGGTACTTGTCTGAAAATAGTCTTGATGATAATTATAGACAAAGTATTTAATAATAGTTTATGTAAATATATTTTTAGTAATATTTAAACACTTCAACAGTTAATATTTAAATTTTTTTAAAAATATTTAATAGTTTATATACATGTATCTAATTTTCTCATGGTTCTCACGCAGAAGAAAAAGTTATTTGTGAAATCGCAGCAAACATGCAGAATGCTTTTTGACACTACGTTCATGAAACGCTGCTTTGAAACTATAACGAACCGCTGTTGTAGAACTGTTCTATATATATATATATATATTTGTCTTTGTTCATTGTGTGTACACATTCTGAGTTTATATACCCTTTACTTTTGATTGTAGACTCTACGACTTGTGCCTTGCGATCTGCATCCATTGCATGCGCAAATTTGAATTTTGTACTTACTAGCGGCAAAATATAAATAATACAGCGTAAACATAATAAACAATCTCATTGCCATTAACTAGATCAAGCTATCGATATTTAAGATATTTCTACGATACGTAAAAATATCCTATATTGATATCTACGATATGTAGAATAATAATAATGAAGCTTTTAATTAACTAATTAAAATCAAATAAATTTATAAATCAATAGACGACAGCATTTGCATCCATCATAATTGATAGATGTGTCTTTTTCTTCACTTTTAGATTTAGCTATTTAGGTTTAGCTCGGTTTAATTATGTATTTGGAGAAGATGTTTCGTAACAGTTATCGTTTCTAAGGGCTGCTGCATTATTGTGAAGCTGAAACATAAAGCAAAAAATAGGGTTCATAATCTCTTCTGAGAGGAAAAGGTCGCATTCTAATTTCAATTTTTCGGTATAATTGTATTATTGCGCGAGAACCTTTGAAAAGAAACTATCTTAAAAACAGTTTTAATTACCATTACAATAGAATTATTCATTTAATTTATTCATAAAAAATAATTTGAATTGTTGGTATAATTGATATTTATCGCTTATAAAATGTAATACATTAATTCATATATTTATACGTCGTACATTTAATATATCAAAAAGCGTTTTTTTTTTATTATGACAATAACATGATATTGATAAAGAAATTATGTAATAATTATAGATAAATCGTTTTGTGATAATCTAAATTTGAATAATTTTTGAAAAATTTAAAATTTGTTTTAATTATTTGTTATTATTTTTTTTACAAATTAAAATGTGTGATATAATAGAAAGTGATTAAAAATATTTACAGTTTAAAATTAATGAAGCTTTTTAAGATTAATAAGTCGTATATATAGATAATTAGATTTTATGATCAATTAAATTGTTATCCCGAAGTTAGCAGCATATAGTTTTATCGTTATTTTGTGCAATCGTGTATATACAATAGCCAGTAACTTTTCGATGACAATATGCCGCAGAGAACCTTTTAAAGCAGACCCTTGTGTCTTGTGTCGCTATTGTTTCGCAGTCGCCAGGAAGATAATCCGCAGCTTTGTTTTAAATGTCACTTGGTACTCAGTATGCAAGGAAAAATATTTTCACAGCATCAATAGCGCGGAATAATTCGTAAACGGACGATTACAAGTGTTAATCATAGAATGTAGCAAAAGTATATATATAATAGAATTGAGAAGCGTAAATATATATGGTAAGCTTTATCGACAGGAGTAAAGTATATCGATAAATATTACAGAGAGAACATTAGATGACACTTAAATGTCTTACATGTGTTACATGCAGAATAAAAAGATGTAGAATAATATTTGAGTATATATCAAGTTTCGAGAATAATATATGATATATTATATATTATAATGTTAGGAAATGTTTTTGAGAAAAGAACGTCTATTACAGCTTTTCTATTTCTTTGCAAACATTATATGTTATGCCAGCTTTATACGAAAGATATAGAAAAGCACAATTATTCAGCCATTAGAATATGTAGAAAGATAGACAAAACGAGAAGAAGTGCGATGCATATGTTTGATATCAACTGGCTGATTAGCTGATCGAGTTACCTAATATTGCTGGCGAATCCCCATCCACGCCGATCCTTTCGGTGTTATCAAACATGCTTATGAACGGGCTGTCGTCTTCGTACGGGGCTGTCGCCCATTTTTTGCCTCTTACCCCCACAAACATCCCCCGTAATTCCCATCGTGGATTTTTCTTACCGCGCATGTCGAAATATCGGAAAGGCGATCGTTTTCGAGCTGGCACGAGGCTAGAGCATTTCTTCTATTGCTCGTTCCTGCTCGAGGGAAATACACAATATGGACGAATGTGACCATTTCGAGCTCAAAATTACACAGTGTAACATGAGTGAAAGGAAAAAAATTAACAAAAAATGGTCTACTATTTCAATATAGAGTTTGGCTTGGAGGTACATATATGAATAAAATAAACCTTCGTTACGTGTTCTTTCTGCTAGGAATAGATTCTATCGATTATCGTCTAGTCATGTTATGAGGGCTATTGAAGAAGCACTGAGCTATTTCACAAAATACTCCAGTGCACGAGAAAAACGAGAGAAAATATTTTATCGAGCGAGTGCAGAAATTCTAATCAATCTGTTTATTCTTGTCGAGTCGTCATAATAAAATTTACATTTGCGTATATTCTTTTATTTCGACTCAATATCAAACAAATTATGTTTTCAACTTCTTAAATATCGTATAAAAAGAGAAACTTCTGTTAATTTTTTATATTTACAATTTTTCATGTTAAATTTTATATTAATGATAAATCTAATTTTAATGTATTACTTTGATTTTTGCAAAATTTATGAAATTTCTAACATAACTTTTGAAATAAATGGATCTCAATTAATAGTTAATTTCTAATTATTATAATTCTGTCTATATGTGTTTATTATACAAAATAATAATTATATATATTAATAAACACATTATACATATGTTTCTCTTTTTCTCAGTTATTATAGATTACATTTAACTTATTATACATTGATTACCTTGATATTCGTTTGATGATCTTTCAAAGTCCATACCAGTTTCATATCTTTGTCCCGTATTTCTCTTGCCTCTCATGCCTTGAAAACCCATAGGTGCTCTTTTATCGGAATCCTTTTTGCCCCTCATTCCTTGAAAACCCATTGGTGCTCTCTTGTCGAAATCCATATCAGGATCCATGTAATAATCTATGTAATTTTCAAAGGCATTTTTCTTGCCTCTCATGCCCTAAAAAATGATTAAATGAATAATTAATGAAATTTCTGAAAATGTTTTCTGTTTTTATGCTATTATTAAATTGAACTAGAAAACAGAGTATTATTTATTTTTTTCGTAATAATTATGACAAAGTTATATTATTTTACACCATATTTTGTTTTTTTCTATAAAATATGTAAAATACATTGTTTTACAATTGAGCAAGTTACCTGAAAACCCATAACAGTTCGTTTCTCAAGTTCCTCGAGCTCGTCAAGCAATGCTTTCTTGCCTCTCATCCCCTGAAATCCCATGGGAGCCCTTTTCTCCCACTCTACCGGAAATTCTTTCAACTTGCCGCGGAATCCCATCGCGAGAAGTCTTTTTTCGTAATCTTCCGGATACTCGAAAAGGTATGTCTTTTTTCCCCTTGTACCATAAAAGCCCATCGCAGCCTTTTTTTCAATTTCATCATCTAACATCTATTTATATATACAAAATATATAATTTTATTAGTAAAGTAGAATGTAATATAAGATAATAGTAATATAAAATGGAATGTAATATAAGAGGTAACATTTTAATTTTAAGAAAAGTAAATATTGCTAATTAAAAAAAGATTATATTTATACTTATTAAGATTAAATGTTCGCGGATGATTAAAGAATACTATTAAAAAGAATCTTATTTAAAGAATTTTGCATTTTATTATTATCTTAAATTCTCTTTAAGTGTAACAATTTAATAATTTAATTAATATCGAATATTTTCTTCTCGGACTTACTTCTGCTTTCTTTCCTCTCATTCCTTGAAATCCCATTGGTGCTCGTTTATAATATTCATCTTCTGAAATGATTTTCTTGCCTCTCATACCTTGAAAACCCATTGGTGCTCTTTTCTCGTCACGAAAGTAGGAATCTTCGAAATCAGGTGTCAAATAATCTTTTTTCCCTCTCATACCCTGAAATCCCATTGGAGCCCGCTTGTCAAATTCATCGTGCAAAAAATTATTTTCAATGTCAGGCGCGTTCGAATCCTTATTATCGCGCGTATCCTATAATTAATATATTTTATTTTTTTCCTCCTTTCTCTCTAATTAGAAAGTAAGAATTAAGCAAAACGATTTCTTTTTCTCTTTTTTCTCGTATTAATTTTTAATAGAGAAGTAGCTTACTTGAAAATCCATTAGCGTTCTCTTGGACAATTTATTGTGTTCTGAGGACGTAGGGATGAGATTGTTTTTCCCGCGCATATCTTCTTGAAATTCCATAGATGTTTGTTTGGTAGATGTAGCATCGCTGGGAGATAATTCTTCCGCAAGCGACGAAGTAATCCAAACTGCCAGAACAAGAACTGAGTTGATAAGCATTCTGAAACATATTGAAAATAAATGGTCAATATCTGTAAAAAAACATTTATTGAGTTATTTATCTCTCACTTTAGTATTAGAAATTTAAACATGAATATATCTATCAAATTTTCATTAAGATTAAATAATACAAGTGCGCTAATCTCATTGTTGTATTTTGACGTACATGAAAGTCACTCTATATTAGGCTAAACTAATTTATCGATATGTGACGTAACTGCATTTGCCTGCATTATCAGGAACTTCTAGTCAAGGTTAATTATATAGTCCGGAAATTCACACAAATATTCAAGAAATGTCAACTCTAATCATGTACTCGTTCTTGTTATGGGTTGAAGCACAATATAAGAAGTAATGAATAGATAGGCTAATATATTATATTTTTAAATAATAAGAGAATTTTTAAATAAGAGAAATTAATATTTTATTTTGGTTAATTGTAGATATATAATTATTATTATTAGATATAATATTTTAATTGCATATTATAAAAAAGGATTTTTTTGGTAAGTTAATCTTCAGAAAGAAAAAGTTGATTATTTTTAATAAGTTTTTAATTTGAATTCTTTGTTTGCATCAATCGATATAAAATATTTTAACATATGAGCAACGAGCATGCAAATAAATTTTGCTGCTATTTTATATAAGAGATATATGTATAAAGATTAAAACACGCTTTCTGTATGATATATTATATGTTGTGCGTACAAGAAAATTTATCGCAAAAGAAAATTGCATTGCGAGGATATAATATTTTCACGAGAGTAAAACGTGTAAAATAAAAATGGTCGCCGAAAATTCAGGAGAATGTAAAAATGCTTTCATATTAAAATGAAATGTTATAAATGCGTGTTGCATTAAGAGGTTCTATTCTCAAAAAGAGAAAGAGATAGAAAGAAGGAGAGGGAAAGAGAGAAAGAGAGAAGGAATTCGAAGTTAAAAAGAAAAACGGTAAATCAAAAGAAATATTTATTCATTTGAAAAGAAATGCATTCCTTTTAAAGAAAATCAAATGAATTTGAAGCATATTTAAATCTGAGAAGTAAGGTACTTCGTATGCTGATGTCGAATTTAAATACAAAAACCGACGACTTTCTTTCTAATTCCATTCTTGTCGTGCTTCTCAACAGATTATACAATTTTATACGGGTTTAAAAGTGCCGCTATCGTTCAAAGCAGAGGCTATAATTAGCGGATGGAAGGATAGGATAAAGGCATGCTTTTTTCAAAGCATTTCGCGCCACGGCAAGACCGAAGAATATCAATAAAAAAGTAGCCATCGAGAAATGAATAAGATACATTCCAGTTGTTAATCAAGAACGAGTTTTAAATATTCTTCTAATATAAAATTCTTGTAACAGACTTATTGGCACTTTCTGAGTTTGAGCAAAAAACATTTAAATACAACGAATATTTAAGTACTTAGATTTTGTTAATTATATTAAATATTAATTACACATACAAATTGTTAATTATATAAATATAAAGAAATCTTAAAAATAATTAATTTTATTTAGCAGATTTACTGAAGTTAAGTTTTTAATATTGAACATCTTGCCATAATATTATTCTCGTATATAGAAGCATATAATAAGAAATAGATAAAATAGATCAATTATACGTGATATTTAAACACGCGACAGATATGTGTGTAAAAGCTAGCTCGACTGAACAACATTGTTTTGCTATATATTCATTTCTATTCATCCTTTTATGTTCTTATATTATCGTCATCGTGTTGTGTTGATCAATTCTAATTTAATATGTTTCTATTCAGCGCGATTCGATATCGTTCGTAAACATATGGCATTGACACGTTATATATGTATACGTCGCGTAAATATGTGAATGAATTAAATAATTTCTAGCGCGTTATCGTGTCGATGTAAAATCAACGCATTTTCTGACAAAACAATATAATAATTATGCATTACATTATTAAATATGGCAAAAATATACTATTGTCTACACACTTTTTCTAAATGAAGACGATAAGTTTTATTGATAGACATGAAGAAATAGATCAATTTTGTAGCTTATATTAAGGTAATTTTGTAGCTTATATTAAGGTAGATTTTTTTCATTATAAAGAAAGATTTTATTCATAAATAAAATTGTTTCCATCTTTTAATTTCCGTTTCGCGAATATACCTGAATAATCTACGGTTTTGTTTCTGTATCAATAGTCTGTCGTTGGCTGTCGCTAAATAGAAACATATGTATTACAACTTTAATTTTTAGTTGAAAATGTAGCATTTATTATAATCTTATTTATTATATTTTTTTATAAATTCTCTTATTTGAATCTTTTCCTGTGCTTAATTGATATAACATGTGACTTGCACTATTCTTCCAGTTACTCAGTTTTTTTTACAAATTAGTGATTAGACATATTAATTTTTTAAATAAAATTCACATTTTGCAATATATGTATCTACATAGTACATACTATGTATATACATAGTATATACATCTCAAATCAAATGCAAGTAATCGTATGTAAGTTTACGTATAGTTATGCAAGTATGCTTCAAGTTCTTAAACATACTAGTAATTTGTCCTACGGGCTAATTGATTTGCTTACGTAAATGAACGATAATATGCATGATATTATTGCAAAGGTCAACAATATGCGGAAACTTGCAATCGGTGTCTGTATACCTATTATGCAACGCGCAATATAGATGTATAATATACCTATATACAATATTATACATCTATATTACGCAATAATAAATTTTTATTTCTATAGTGAAGTATTACATTAGTTTATTAATTCAGAATTCCCAAGATAATAAAAATTCGTTGGGAGACATATATATATGCACGCATCGATACGCAATTAACTCTTAACTATAATAATAAAAAAAGGAATAAACAATTTTGAGGTACATTTATATGTATAAATGTCAACCGCAAGACCACTTTTTGGAATCATAAAAAACCTGGCAACCTAAGACGTATTAACGCGCGTACATTGTAAACTGTTGAGATGAGCCTCTTCGTCGCGCAAAATAAACGGAGCGAGAATTCTAGTTCGAAGAGGCATAAGACGTCGGGAACGTACCATGTCGGTATAGAGAAGATGAGAAGAGGTGCGGTACGATAAAAGCGGGATAAAGGGGTGGCGAATACGTGAGATACTGCGACTGATGGGCGGCTGATGGGTGGTGGTGAGTCTGTTTCTCACCACCGACCGGTCAATCGTGTAATCGTTCTGAACAAGCTTGTCTTACACACGGTTATATTCCTTTAAAGATGACGATCGAGAATCTGACGTTTTCGCTTTCCTAATGTGTCGCGTACACGTGATTTCCGAAATTTTATTCGCGACATTTGAAAAGATGTTCAATGAAATAATTACGTTCAAAATAAAATACATTTAGGATACATTTCTTTAACTTTAATTATCTTTATTGCAAATTAGATATATTGCGTATTAGATGTTAGATACTACGTAGATAATTTGAATTAAAAAATAAATTATTAAGTATAATTCTATTAAATAAATACAATAGATTAGGTTTGCAATTGAGAGTTTTAGTTTCCTGAAACTTATACACGGAGAGAATTTTCTCTTAGAATTTAAAATCATGGTAATTGTGGGACAATATGGTATTGGAAGAATTTTATGAGTTTCTCTCTGATTAATATTTACCACAATAAAAATATTAATATGTACATAGTAAAATTAATCGAACATATTTTATATTTTATTGTAATAGATATTAATATTTTTTATTGTGGTAAATATTAATCAAAGAAACTTTTATAAAATTCTTTCAATGCCATATTATTCCACAATTATCATGATTTTCAGGATAAATTCTAAGAGAAAATTCTCTCTGTGTACAATTCCGTTTATAAGTTAAAATAAAAAAGTTTAAATTTAAAATACTGTTGTATATTAATTATTTCTATTTATTAAAAGAGGAATACAGCAGAAAAAACGTCGTCAATTTAAAAAAATAATTCTAACGATTTCCATAATTATTAAATAGCAATACGTTTAGAATAATTTTTAGTAAAATGAGTAAAATAAAGTTATTTAAAATTTTGTTAACTTTTATGTTGAACATTGACATGTGTATCATATGTAACGCGGAAAGACTTCCTGTGTATTGATTGGAGTTTATCTATATACAGTCCATACACGTATAAAGAACAAGAACGCTTACTTGAACGATGAACTTTTATGAAAAAAAGAGAGATCGATAAAGAAACCGAGATAAATCTAAACAATACTCGAGGAGAAATTGCAATGAGAGAAAATCATTCACAGAGATGAGTCCCTTCATTGTCTATAAAAGTGCATTTATCTTTTCAAAGTAGTATGCCGTTGTATACATATAATGCAAAACAGTAATGTACAGTGCTACAAACCTACGTCATAAAAATTGTGTGTTCTATTTCCTTCTACATAAAAACTTGATTAATACCTGAAATTAATAGATAGATATAAATTTAATTTACTCAAGCCGTATATTGCTACATCTTTTTATTTCAAATAAAATAATGTATGTTATTTTGCGTACAAAATATATATTTTAGAATTAATTTAGTTAAAAACAAATATAAAATAATAAAAAATAAATTTTTATACGAAAAAAATAATATTAATTTAATTTATAATAAAATTATTTATAATAAAAAATATTCTTCTATAATAATTATATATATACATATAATAGCTTCGGCAAATATTTTTTTACATGCTTTAAAAAAATGATGAAAATATAAATGTGACATATAGAAATTTTATATGTCATATATTATTAAGTCAATATCTTTTTTTTAAAAATAAAGAGGCTTTATTCTTTGTTCGCCTACGCGCATCGGCACTGTTACTTCGATCATTGCACATATGAAGGCGAACGAAAGGAAATTACTTTATACTAGTAAAGATTTTTTGATTAAATACCTATTCTTAATAAATAATTTTTATTTTGTATTTAATAATATAAGTAAGTAATTTTTTGTGTATATGCATTTAATATTGGT